CTTCCCCAGGGTAATTCGTGAATGTGGACAAAACCCCTGGACAATCTGCTCAGGAATGATCCCTTCATATGGAGTTGCACCTCATGGGTGACCTTCCCAGTGCTGTTTGCAGGCATTGGCGGATAGAGGCTGTGTGGTGAGCCCCGCCAGTTCTTCTCAAAACCCTGGAGAGGCTTGATTAACTGCATCTGTTATCTCGGTCTATTAAAGACTTCCCCATAGACCCACTCGCAGGGCTCAAAACCTCAGCTTCATCTGAGCCTCTGCAGCAGCTTTTTTTTTGCTAAGATCTCATGGGGACAGAGGGAGGAGGTTCAAGAGCTGCTGTCTCACTCTATGGCTCTCACTGGTCTCTGTCTTTCCATCCCCCTGCTCTAGCCTTGATCAGCATCTTCTTACCTCAGTGCTTCTGATTAGTTGTCCTGGATCCTGCCAAACCACCTACTCTCAGGCTGATGTCCCTAAATCAGAATTCCAAGTGCATATCCAGTCTTCCATCAGAGAACCTCCTTTGTGCCACCCTGGTAACTACTTGGCTGAGTAAAATCTTTTCCTTTGAAACTTGGGGTTCTCTAACTTTTCCAAACTCATGTCTTCCCTATCCCTACTTCATTGGCCTACCTGAGGCCCTCACGGAAGGATGCTGCTCCTGCTTATTTTCACTACCCTGGCAGCACCTTGGATATGGATGGATCTTAGTGAATGTTTCCATTAAATTGACTTGATGTGACAGCCATGACAAGGAGCAAGTCCCCCCTGCCCCCCACTCCCAGTGCTGGGGGTAAATGCAGGCAAGCACTCTGAGCTACATCCCCAGCGCCAAGAACAAGATTCTTAAGCAGATCTCTGAGCAAATGGCTGGACCACAACCCTCAAAGCAGGGACCAGGCTGTTTGCAACAGGATGGTAAAGGAGGGCCACAACTACTGCAGGATTCTGCTGAGTGGATTATTTTTCTTTTTTTTTTTTCTTCTGAATTTACTGTATTTTCTCCAGCTCAGTGGCCTCCTCCCCTACACCAAACTTGTCCAAGCACATGGAATTCTACATTTTGGACTTTAACAATTTGCCCTTTTCTTGACTCAAGGCTATTTACCCCTGTTCCTCTTTGGATTGCCATGCCCTGGGCTTTGGCATCTCTCAGAAGTGTTCTACCTTTTTAATCTCAAAGCCAGACATCAAAGATTTGGCCACAGCTTCCAGTTCTTTTTCCATTACTCACTAGGACTGGCTAATGTAGTTCATTTCTTTCTTTGTCCTTCCTACTTCTACCCGTCTTTACCTCTTCCTTAATCAGCCCAGTATCATGGTCAGTCACTTCAGCCTCAGTTTGATTATCATGCTTGATTTCTTTGCTCCGTTGATATCACCTCTACTTCAGGGCTACTGGGGAAATTCTCAGTGCACACCCACCAATGCTACTATAGTTTCTGCCCTTTCTATCAACTCGTTTCCAAGGGGAAACCAATGTCACCTTCACTTCTAGGTCCTGTCCTCTTTCATTATGATAACCACGGCCAAGTGTCTGGCATTGCTGACCCCTCTTCCACCCTGACCCACTGAGGGTGGTGTGTCAGTACCTGTACACATGATAGCCACTAGACACATGTGGTTACTTAAATGAAAAATAAATGAAAATCACTACATCTGGCTCACAGAAGCCATTCTTCAGTTACTCAATAACCACATGTGGCTAGAAAGTTATATTAGACAGTGCTGGTCACTCCCAAACTGCTCCTCATCTTTCTGTCTCAATAAATCCCCATTCACAGCATCATCTAAGCCATTTCTTAGGACTTGTCACTGTGGGTGCCTCTCTCCCACATACTCAGTTCTTACATTTGGAATTCAAGGGAGATTGGTTCCAAAGCCCCCATGGATAGCAAAATCTGTAGATTCTCAAGTCCCTTATATAAATGGCCTAGTATTTAAAAAAAGCCTGTATACATCCTCCTGCATACTGTAAATTATCTCTGAATTACCTATAATACCTGACACAATGTTAATGCTATGCCGAGAGTTGTTGTTCTGTATTGCTTAGGGGAAAATGATCTATCTGCACATGTTTGGGACAGATTTAATTTCTTTAAAAAGCTTATAGTGACTGAACATGGAACTTGCAGATATGGAGGGTCAACTGTACTTCTGTTCAGAGAATAAGCCTCAATAATATTTCTCAACGCCACCTACCTTTTCCCACAAGCCTCCCTCAGCTAGTCTATTACACCAGCACCTGATTACTTAGTCCCCACTTGGCCTTTCTCATCAAGTTTTAATTCACCACCATCTCCAATCTCTGCCCCCAACACTGGGCTTTCTTCAGCCTCCAAACATGCCATATCCTTGCTCACCCCCAGGGCCTCCATTGAAAGCACTCTCTCCCCCTACCAACTCATTTGCGTAACTTTTAGGGGTGGACATCACATCCTTTCCAAGCCCATTGCCTGCATCCCAAGGCAAAGTTATGTGGCCTTTCCATGTGTGCCTGTCGTGTCAGTGCCAACTCCATCATGGATCTTGTCACTTCTGACTGTGATGTCCCCATTGTATCCCCGTTACCCATGAGGGGCCAGCATAAAGGTTGGCAATGGCATGGAATCTGATTTATTCCATTGGCCTTTCATTAATAATAATGGTGGTTAATCTTATTGGGTGCTACAAGAAATGAAATTAGGCCAAATGCCAAGACTTCTTGGCTAAGCCACTTTTAATTAAAGATGAAACTGTGTCATATCCTTTTGAAGCAGGGTTTTCCAAACTGATTTGTGACCCATAATGAGCAATAAAATCAATATAGTGGGTCATGACCAACATTTTAAAAGTGTGGACTAGAATAGAAAATATCAGAATGTGTCTTACATATTGAAGGTATTTTTTGATGTAATTTTTGTTCCAGATGCATCTATGCATATGTATGTGCGTACTGGGCCGATGTGCAAAACTTATCTTGGGATTATGGTTGCAGAAGTTGAAAAACCTTCTAGGTAATGCCTAGTTGATTATTCCTGGAGCAGATACACAAATGGTGAGACTGCTTTAGAGCAGCACAGGATGATCTTAACAGTACCACACTGTACATACCTAATCATTTTGAGTTTTGTCTTTACTTGTCCTATGATTTTTCATTAACTTTCATGCATTTTCTTTTCATTTTGTGTTATCAAAATTATTCTGAAAGATATGTTGAGTCCTTAGTATCTACACACAGAGTAGGTTCCCCTTTTTTCTATCAGCCTTGGAGAGAGGACTCTTAAAGGCAAGGCTATGATCATTTACCTAGGGATGATCCAGGACCTTAGAATACAGTGTGTGCTCAATAAATATTAGTTTGCTGTTGAATGTCTGTAGAATGGTTTCACCATTTTCAGAAGTGAGGGTCTCTAACTTGCTGGTATTATAGATCTATCATCATCTTGCCACCCACTCTTGTGGCTAAATAGGTAGGTAGATAAAAAAGAAAATCAGTAGAGCTTTGTGTCACGGTTGAGTTTTGCAAGTTACTTGAACTTCCCAGAAAAGGCCCAAATGTTTTAGTTTGAATCAGTGCTGAACTTTATCTGGGGTATCTTCTTCATACCTATGAGATTTCTATTTTCCATGCAAAAGAAATAAGACAAAGATGACATTTTACAATGGTGGAAGAGTCTGAGGCCTTGTCTCAGGCATGCCAGAAATGATCATGACACTGGATTATTTGCTATAGACAAGAAAGGGAATGGAGGAGGTCCATATGCTATGTATTTGGCATTGATCAGGGAGGACTTTATATTTTTAATAGATTTAAGAGTGATTTTTTTTCTTCTCCCATATATCATATAGGAGTTAGTCTCATTATAAAAGCAATATATATTCGAAAATTTAAGACAAATTTAGAATATATATATATATATATATATATATATATATAATATCTTATTACACAGAAGATACTGTTTTGATGTCTCATACTTTGTAGAGTGTGCATCATAGACCTCTTTTTATCCCTTCCATATATCATGTGCCCTTTCTAAGTCTATATATAGTTTTCTTTTCTGAATCTTAAAGGGGAACATGAATCCCACTGGGATTATAAACCAAAACTGGTTTTACTAATTCCCTGCTGTTGGACATTTAGGTTGCTGCCAACTTTCCTCTGTTACAAACATTTTTATACACATTTCTCTAGGTCTTTATGCTAATCCACGACTGAACAGTTGGAATTTATCATTTACTCAGTACATTTCCCCTTCTCCCCTCAGCTGCCATTAAAGTTCATTTAAAAAGACTACTGTCCTATCATCAAGGAAAAAATAATTACCTCGACCTTGTTCTTGACAAAGGGATGTTTATAAAGCAACAGTGTGGTCTAACAAGATAAGGGCAGGCATAGCTGGGAGGTGGGTACTAGGCCGACTGGCCTAGCTTCCCCCAGGCGTGCATAGTTCTCTGGGTCAATCACAAGCTCTTGTCTTGTTCATTTGCATTGAGGGAGTTAGACTTGATATTTCTTCTATCCAGACCAAATCTTGGAACACAGACCCTATAGCTCCACAGTTGCATTTGCCTCATGCCAGAAACCCAAAGTAAATAAACCAAATCGGTTGGGGAACATTTAAAGGATGCAAAGTTTCTATATGCTAGGTGTTGGGGGGCTTTACTCTCCCCCCTAGCTGGCAGTCCCATGAGTGAAGCATTTCACAAGTTGTTCATAAGCTGTTTAATGAGGGTGCCAATTTGTGACATCAAATCTTTCTCCCCTTTGGTGACATTGCTTTCCCTCCTCATGCCAACTAGAATTCAGGGTGGCATAAAGACAAGTTGGTAGACGTGGAAACTCTGACATCCAGGGATTGCCTAAATTTAAACTGGGAGCAAAAATTTCAGTTTCTTGTTTATTAATAATTAAACATTATAGGACTAAGGACAAACCCAGGAAATGGGGCAATTTCACTGATATTTACTCACCTGGTAATAAGCATCCAATTTGTTACTGAGGGAAGAGAGAGAGAGAGAATACATACCCAACAAACGGAGGAGGAGAAAAAGAACTCCTAGGGCGTAGGACTTGAGTTCAGGGCTGACTGTCCTACATAAAAAGAGATGAAGAGGGAGAAAAACGTTCTTATCACTCCTCCTTAATTACCAAGCCCACAGTCATTTGCTGCTGCTGCCCATCACACCCCTTCTTTAGGCAATTACTAATCACTTTTTTTTTTATTCCCTGCCTAAATTCTAAAAAATGACTGCAACAGCTAAGTTTAGAAATTGAACAGTGTTTCTTTAATAATGAGCTAATCTTATCATTTCCAAGGGCTGAATGTATGGTCATAAAGTCTAAAATTAGAGAGATTTAACCTTTGTTGAGGGGAGAAGCAACTTGAGTTGATAGAAGATACACATGTGGAAAACAACGGAGAAAAAATAATTCTTTATGCTTTACAAACCAGCTAGGACGCCAATGAACACCTTTGTTATTCTATCAGACTAGAATATTTTGATATCCCGGATGGACCATTTGAGAAATAATGCATCTATATCACGTCAGTACCTTTTAACTTGGGAAGGACCTTCCAATATCACCGTCCTGTATTTTTTTTTTTTTTAATTGATTCAATCTTTCTGGTTTTGGTTTACCCAGAATAGTCCCTTTAAACAATCTTCTTACACATTTTCTAGAACATTCTCAGTAAAATATTTTAAGGAGATGAATGACGGTTGAGTTTTGGAAGTGATGATTGATTCTAGATAGATAGAGCTACTTCATTCTCCCCATGAAGTCAAGGATGATTTGCATCTTGCTCATCACTGTGACCTCAGTCCTAGCCTCTGTGTCTAGCACATGGCATGTGCTGGGTGAGTATGTAAGTTGGTGGATGGCTGTGCGGATGTCTTCAACTTATGACCTCAGGTAGCCCTACTATGGCTTGGTGGTCACCATCATGACTCTCTAGGGGATGGAGAGGGAAGCACATGATTTTGGCTCTTGAAGCATTTGGCTAGGCAGAGTCATCCAGTGTGGATGGAAGATCCATGCAGTGCAAGGACAGCCTAATAGCTGGTTTTGTAGAAAATAAAGGTTAGGGACAAAGTTACCAACAGGCCATGCAGTACACAGGATGTTTAACTTGTCTATGGACTGAGTGGGTGTCATCCATTCAACAATCCAATAGCATCCATCTAATGACCTACCATTTGGGTTGGGCCTCAGATGTACACGTCTCTGGGTTCTTGGCATGATAGGCCCAAAGTGACTATTAACCAAGAAAAACTACGCGTGTGCTATAGACTGACTGTTTTTCCCCAATTCATTCTTTCAAACGTAATCCTCAAGGTTATAGTGGAGTCTTCAAGAGGTGATTAGTCCTGAGGGTGGAAACTTTATAAATGGGATTAATGCCCTTATAGAATAGATATCCCAGAGAGATCCCCTGTCCCTTTTGCCATGTTAGGACACAGAATTTGTCACCTGTGAACTAGGAAGTAGGTCCTTACCAGTTAATCTGCTGGTGCCTTGATCTTGAACTCCCTAGTCCTCCATAACTGTGAGAAATAAGTTTCTATTATTTATAAACTATCATACTCTCCACGGTGTTTTGTTATAGAAACCTGGGAAAAACAAAGTGATTTTTATAATCTCTTCCCCCATTTCTAATATGTTCAGGGAAAACTAAAAATGTGTGATTGCTGGGGAAATACATACTTTTTAAATTATAAAGAATATGGTATAGGTAAGTAATCCCAAGGCAGTGGGACATGAATTTCTGGCTGATTGAGGCAGACGGCCATACAGTGTCAATGAGATCAGTGTCTCTCTGGACAGAACGCCTACTCTTTTAAACACGTTACAAAATCCAAGTTCCTCAGCGTTATCAGCTCCATGGCTACAGTCTTAGCACGTTCATTTGAAGGTTTAACTTGAAAGACGCATAAATAAAGGCATATTCTCCTTATCAAGAAAACATGATGGTATAATGAGCTAGAATATTTATCACTTGAAATTTGATTTCCTTTTAGCTATCATGTCCCCAGGAACAAAGTGAGCAAGGCGCTAAGATTTCTCTTCATATCCTGTTGGGAAACTGGTTCCCATAAGAAATCATTTCTCATGCATTTAGCTATAAAGAAATGGAGGGTTCAGTCTGTTATCGAAAGTTCCAGGCAAGCCCAGGCATGCAGCCTTAGTGTCACAACTTAATGGCTGCTTAACCACACTCTGGTACTTCTATCTGTAAAGGGGGAATGCTAACAATACAATAAAACCAAAGTCCAGGGTTGGCACCAGTATGTGTCGGCTTTCTCCTTGCTGTGGGACATTATGAGCACTGTTCTCATGGGTATGCTTCTGCCTGGCCTAAGAGCAAGCATTTTATTCTGGGCCAGGTAAAGGCTAAGGCACATCTGGACTGCAGCCCTGACTGCCTGCCTGGAACATCTACAGTGGCAAACTGGACTGGGAAAATGATGGAATGAAAAAACTACCTTGGCCTTTTAACATGCAGGACATGTGCCTCTAAGCATGGAGTTGAGAGGGGACAAGGCCCAGCCCAGGTCCTGGAGGCCATCTGTTGTTGATCTGTTTAAAGGGAATCAGATACTTCCTGCAAAACTCCATGAGCTGTTCATCAAGTTGAAATTTGGAAGTGATTGAGATTTCAACAGACTCTCCCTTTTTGATCAGCAGTCACTACCACCTAGCACCAGAGGCTGGGTTTTTGCAGGAAGTCATGGAGAGACAAGGGACCAGCTACTGCTACTGGAAGTGGTAAGGGTCATTTTTTTTCTGCATTGTGTGTGGTGCCTTTTGTGTGTGAATATCACAATATAACATTATGAGAATTTCTACTGAAAAATAAACTACTCATAAGGCAGCCACCCTGAACCCATGCATGAGATCTGATGGGTTTTGCCCATATGCATATTATATATAATCATCTTCCATATAGAGTTTTAAATTCAATGGTTCATTTCATAAACACTTTTCACATTCTTAAGAATTTTCATTATTCCGTTGAGTTGCAGTACCATAATTTAACTCACTATTTCAATTCAGGTATTTCTGCTATTATAGTTAACATTGTAATAAAAGTCTGTCTGTATTGAGCCTTTTTTTCTTGTAGAGAGGTATTTTCTTGAGATAAATGGTGAAGGATGGGGGAGGGTTTCTGCATAAAAGGGTCTGAATATTTTTAAGGCTTCTAACTCACATTGCCATATTATTTTTTTGAAAGGACTGATGCTTTTCAATGTCACCAGCAATATGTGATTTTACTAGTTTGGCCACAGCCTTGCAAAGCACTGGGTATGAATTTTTAAAATATATTTTTTTCAAGCGTAGGAAGTATAAAATGGCAATTTGCTATTGTACCCTTGATACTTCTGCAGTCTTAAGGCCTTGCTAATGACCTTTTAGGTAACATAAGTACTTTTTATAAATCCTCTTCTATGAAAATTCATAACAAAGATCAAAAAATGTGGTAGGCAGCACAAGATGAATGGAGAAGCCAGGCAAATCAGTTGATGAGGTACATCGACTCAGGGTGCTTCCAAGTATTTCATTCTTTCTTTCTTTCTTTCGAGCTCTTGGGAAGGCATTGGTTTGCTTATATAGCTGCATCCCAAAAGGTGAGTGTTCAAGTGGCATCTTTTCCTCTGACTGAGGTGGATACTAGGGTTGGGTCAGTTCACTTCTAGATTCCACACACAAAGCTAGATGACTTTTCAAATGACAAATTCACTCAGAATATTGCTGAATGATTCACCTTTGAAGCACTTCGTCTGCTCCCAGGATGGGTCCTGAGTGACAGAATTCTGGATGATTTAGTATGGTACAAAAACCTGTTTGTACAAGAAAAGTGACTCCTTGCCTGTCACGAACCCCTTGGCACAATTATCCCTCACATCTTTATGGCATTTGAACACAGATGGTCTTGCTGGATCACATGCTGTTGCAGGAGGAAAGCTGGACCAGTGACCACCTTACCCCATAACCGATTATGAAACAGTCTAGGGGAAGAGGTCATGCCCAGGGGTGTATGGCTGATCCGTGGCAGGGCAGGGCTGGACATAGGGACTTGTTTAGTCTAACACCATTTTCCATTTACTCCAACACTGCTCTCTGGACAGATCAATGCAGATTCCTTTTCAGGGTCACGTGCAGAAGCTCTTCCTGGGAAGACATGTGGTCTTCTCCATTGTGCCCTGCTGTCACTTCTTACTCTGAGGTCCCTATTGATTGACTGATTGCAATTATTCCCACTGGCCTATATTCTTTGCTGTGGCCCTATCTTATCTGGCTGTGAGACTCATATACATGAGTCCAAAAGTGTGACCCCCCCTCTGACCCCAGGTGCACGCCAGGTGGAGTGGAGTGGGGATAGCCCATTAGCTCTCACATCCTCAGGGCTATTTCCACAGCTTACCTGATAAGGATGATGACTGAGGGTGTCTGGGCCATGGCACCAATCATGCTGCAGACGCACATCACACAGAGGAAGGTGAGGAAGGCCTCTTGGCACCCGGGACTGGGGCATTTTCCGGGAACCACGGTCGCATTCTCAGGGGGGATGGTGGTGAGGCACGCACAGCCTGTGAGATTCTGAAAAAGAAAGCATTTAGTGACTTTTTTTTTTTTTTTTACCTGGGGGTATCTGCAGCTTCTGAATCCAAAGCCATCCATCAGCTAAAGCCGTCATGGCCTAATTATGCAGTCTGTGGCATTCCATTAATTAGGCCTGAATAAACGAGTCAGCTTTTTGAGGAGGCTGCAAAAACACATGCAAATAAAGGAATACTTATGGGGAGGAGAGTTGATTTTCCTGTCTCCGGTGTTTCATTTCCATTCTCAAGAATCCCTCAATAAGCTGTACCATAGACAAACGTGTTCCCCCCAATACAATTAGAGAGGAAATTGCGTTTCCACAATATGATAAAACATTACCAAATTAACATTGTAATTACTTGCCAATTTGTCTTCTCTTTTATGCGGTTATAATTACACTGAAGTGTATTAAAAGAAGTAAATCAGGTAACCCGCACATTGCTGCTGGTTCAGTGCCCAGTGTGGCACTTGGAACAAAGGATGTGCGCTGTCATGCACGAGAGGAGGGAGTTGATGGAAAAGTTCTCCGGTGGCTGAGAAAGCAAAGGGGGCTGAGAGATTCCAGGCAGCTTAGAGAGGCTCGTGGGGAGCAGAGCAGAAGCCCAATGAGATACATTTATTAATATATGATCAGAGACGAGAAAGAAAAGCGACCGCATTCCATTTGATCTTCCTGGTGATGCTGGCCCAGCCGCCCTGTTCCCAGCACAGCCCTTGCTCACGCTCTCTTGCTCACTCGAGGAATTTCTGATGGCAAAGGGAGGAGCAAGGGCTGCAAGAGGCCAAGCTGAGTGCCAAGCCAATTAAAGTTCAATAATAATAGTGCAGAGGCCTTTAATGAATACGGAGTGAAAACAGTCATAAATGATTCATGGATTCCCTTCCCAGGACTGATCCGTCTTCCAAGCACATGCCCAGGTAAATCCTCCTGAGGGTCAAACAAACCCTCTCTGGCTTTTATGGCTCTCCTCCTCTGCTCTTCTCCCCTGCACCCATCCCTCCTCTCTTTCTAACCCCCTTCTTTCCACAGATAACGTGCAGAGAAAGTGTTTATTTTTTTTTAATCCCATGAAGCTATATGTGATGACTTCGGGGGTACCTGTTCCCACCCCTGTCTGCCTGTGCCCCACATGGGGACTTTTATCTGCAGGGTAGAAATGGGGGAAGGCTTTGTGTGCTGGGGCTGCATCCTTTCTCCTAAGTGGTCTGCCAGAGCAGGCATCTTTGTGTAGCTGGTCCTATCTACAGACCTGAAGAATTTATGGTGATTCCCAGGTGTTGAAGTCTTGCCCCTCTCCCTCTTTCTCTTTGCCTAGAGACTTCTTAGATATTTTACAAAACCCAGTGCAGATACTACCTCTCTTTGAGAGGTCTCCTCTGGCTGAGCAGCTCCCTCCCCTTTGCATGGGACTTTCTGAGCCCAGCCCTCTTTGACCATCCCTAAGTATAGAGGCCTTTACCTGCCTCCCAGAGGAAAGGAGAACTATGGGACAAGGAACTCCTCAGACAAGTCCCCTGTGCTTTTCAAGATTCTTTCCCCAGCTCAGTGCTGAGAAGTAGTAGAAAAAGCTCAGTAGATAGTTTTAGGATACACATGTTAGAGGAAAGACTTTCAGTTTTTCTCTTAAGATCAAGAACAAGATAAGGATATCCACTCTCAGCACTCTTACTCAATATGTCCTGGAAATTTGAGCCAGAGCAAGAGAGAAATAAAAAGAATATAAATAGGAAAGGAGGAAGTCAAATTATCCCTGTTTGCTACTGCTATGATTCTATACTTAGAAAACTCTAAAGACTCCACCAAAAGACTCAAAATTGGTAAATTTAATAAACAGTAATATCCAATGTCAACTTACAAAAACCAGTAGCTAGCTAGCCCAGCATGGTAGCACTCACCCAGAATCCCAGGGATTTGGGAAGCTGGGGCAGAAGCATTCAACTTCAGGGTCAGCCTCTGAAAATTAGAACCTGTCTCTATATAAAAAATAGAAAAGGGATGGGAATATGTTTCAGTGGTAGAGTCTCCCCCTGGTTCCATCCCCAGTACCATTAAAAAAAATTCAGGAGTTTTTCTACTCACCGATAATGAATTTGCTGAGAAAGTAATCAGGAAAGCAATCCCATTCACAGTAGTCTCAAAAAAAAAAAAAAAACAAAAACCTGTATCTACAATGACAATCATAAGAAACCAAAGACACTATAAGGTGAAAGACCTCCCATGTTTATAGAGTGGAAGAATTAATATTGTTAAAATGGCCTTTCAGGGCTGGGGATGTGGCTCAGTGGTAGAGCGCTTGCCTTCAAGTGTGAGGCACTGGGTTCCATCTTCAACACCATATAAAAATAAAGATATTGTGTCTACCTACAATTAAAAAATATTTTAAAAACAGCACTTTACCCCAAGCAATCTATAGATTCAATGCAATTCCCATCAAAATACCAATGATTTTTTTTTTTTTACAGAATGAGAAAAAAATCCTATGGTTTATGCGGAAGGACAAGACTCTGAATAGCTACAGCAACATGGAACAAAAAAAGCAATCCTATAGCCATCACAGCATCTGATTTCAAACCTACAGCAGAGCTATGGTAACCAAAATGGCATGGTATCAGCACACAGACCAACAGAACCAAATAGAGTACCCAGAATAAGTCCACACATCTACAGCCAATTGATTCCTGACCAAGGTGCCAAAAACACAAATCAAGAAAAGACAGCTTATTAAATGGTGCTGGAAAAACTGGATATCCACATGTGGAGGATTGAAACTGAACCTCTATCTCTCACCCCATTCAAAAAAATCAACTCAAAAAATGGATCTAAGACCTGAAACTTTGAAACTACCTGAAGAAAATGGGGGGAACACTTCAAGATATTGGCAGAGGCAACAATATCCTGAATAGTACTCCAGTAGCTAAGGAAACAAAAGCAAGAATCCATGAAGGTATTAAATGGATTCTATGAAGCAAACAAGCAACAGAATGAAGACACAACTACAGAATGGGAGAAAATCTTTGCCAGTTATTCATCTGACAGAAGATGGATATTGAGAATCTATAAAAGAACTCCAAAAACTTAACATCAAAGGAACAAGTAATGCAATCAGAAATGGGCAAAAGATCTAAACAGACACTTCTCAAAAGAAATACAAATGGCCAATAAATTTATGAGAAAATGCTTTATATCAGTAGCCAGGAAACTGCAAATCAAAAATACACTGAGGCTCTATTTCATTCCTCACCCTAGTCAAAATAAATTTATATATATATATCTTTGCTGGCAAAGATGTAGAGAGAGAAAGAAATCCTTAGACACTGTTGGTAGGGACATAAATTAATATGGCCACTATGGAAAACAGTATGAAGGGTCCTCAAAAAATGAAAAGTAGAATTACCCTATGATCCATCTATACCATTTTTGGATATGCACAGTAAGGAAGTGAAGTCAGCATACAAAAGAGACAACAGCATACCCATGTTTATTGCAAGCATTATTCACAACAGCTAGGACATGGAATCAGCCCATCAACAGGTAATTGTATCAAAAAAAAAAAACCAACAGGTGAATGTATATATACTCATTGAAATATTACTCAGCCATAAAGAAAAATGGAAGCATGTTACTTGCAGTGAAGGGGATGGAACCAGAGGAAGAAATAAGTGAAATAAGCCAGACACTGAATGACAAATACACATGCTTTCATATGTGGAAGCTTAAAAAACAAAACCAAAGATGACCTCAGGGTAGAAGGGGACCTTTTAGGGAAGAGAAGGGAAGGGAAGGGGGGCAGGGAGAGGGGAGGGCAAAAGACAGTAGAAGGGAGGGTGAATGTGATCCATGTAGTATGTATGTCAAGTCACAGTGAAACTTGTTATTTTGTGTATGTATTAAAAATAATTTTAAAAGAACATGTCTGAATGAATTTGCCTCTGCCTTTATCAGGAAGCAAGTATAACTTAAAATGCTCCCCCTCCCCCTCCCCAGGGGTAAGAACTAGAACCTGTCTCCACCAATGGCACAGCCAGGCTTTCCCAGCTGTTAAGACACATGGCTGCACTTTCTCGTCCGCCCTGCTCTCAGCTTACTCCAACTGGCTTCTGTCCCTACACGCATGAATCTGACCATGCTAAGTTCCCCAGTGGGCTCTGTATCCTGGGACCCCACCACCCACTCCACCCTCCCTGGAGCTCCACTTCTTGTCTCCCAACCCTTCAACTTTTCCATTCTTCATCCATCCTTCTTGCTGGCACCTTCTCCCCTTCCCCATCCTAAACTGCTGGAGCAGCTCAGAGCCCTGGTCTGGCGTTTCTCCCTTCCCACCCTGTGCCCTTTCCCTGGCTGTCCTTTATGTGCTGTGCCATCTTTACCTGCTCAGGACTCCTGTGAACATAAACTGCAGCCCAGATCCCTCCTAGGCCATTGGATATGTCCCTTCCTGACACTTGAGCATGAGGAGGTGTCGGGCTGGGTCTGTACTGTGCGTGTGGCACCACTCTCCCATGTAAGGCTGGGTACTACTCCCCACAGTTTCCTTTCCCACTTGAGGAGAGCTGGACAGGAGGGGGGAACAAGGCAAGATTTAGAAGGTAGGAGCTGCAGATCAGAATATGCCACCCCAGGATATGCCTCTTTTAGCATAAGGATCATTTTGAACTGATTTTTGAGAAAAATGTAGACATAGAAGAAGCTCTGACAACAGAAAAATGACTACTTTAGGAAAGAAATCCATCCCTTGATAGCCAAGAAAGATTGGTTTCCAGACCCCCTGCAGATACCAAAACATGAGGTTATATAAAACCTCTCTATATGTCCTCCCATATACTTTAAATCATCTCTAGGAAACTTATAATACCTAATACAACATAAATACTTTAAAGAACATGTTTTTAGTCCATGTTTAGTACCAACACAGTATTTTCTCCAAATATGTTCTGTGGTTGGTTGAAGCTACTAATAGGGATGGAACTAGATGACACGAGGTCCTACTTTATAAAGG